TCTCCTTCTATACGGAGCCTTCGGCCTCCTCCTCACCGCACTGCCACTCCTAACTCCTAGACCCCTTTTATAGGTGCATTCCCGCCCGAACCGTTTCCCTCTGGCAAGGTGGTCTCCTATGACCCCGCGCGATCGACAACCACAGCCTCCTCCTCGACCTACCGTGCTCAAACCAGCTGATCATAACTGGCATCTCAAGGCAGGCATGGCATGTCTTTCCCTAACACATGAGAATTTCGAATGTAGGTTCAACGGAAAAGCGCTCGCATAGGAGTTCGAACCAAGGTCAAGATTGCATCGAGTATGAGTAAGTCCTCGATGAGTGGTGCCGTATGTGCCAGGATAAACAGTAAAGAGCGTATCGATAGGCCAAGAGTGGATGGGAACATTCTCCTTGGATATCACTGGATGTTGAACGCACGGCGGGAGTGCGACAACGCGCTAAAAGTGCCTCTCCCGGCACTTGTGCAAAATTCTGTACCATGTTTTATGCTGAATTTACAAACCTACTTAATTTCATAAAACCTTGAGAGCAGCAGATCCTTCACTTGATAGCGCCCTATTCCTTACTTTTCGATTGAAAGCTTATAGAGGAAGTTATGCCATCTACACATATCTAACAGTAGGTCTCGAGAACTTCCCTCATCTCCCGATCTCCTTGATCTAAACGGCCAGCACTGTGTGTTTGCTGTCTTATAAAAACGAATCGAATGCTGAACATATTTGCTGCATTGGACAGCTCCGTTCTCATGTGCATCATTTATTTAAAAGAACGCTTGACACAGAGGGTTACTCTGCCTTAAGAGGCAAGATAACTTCACCGGCTTGTGCACCTGCTTTGAATGGAGCTTGTGGGTCGGTCTCTTCAGCTGGTACCTGCAGTAAGAAGTGATTGGCCTGTTCAATTTCTGTGCATGATTAATCGACAAATCTGTTCATTACCTCTGCCCACTGAATGACTAATTTATCTTCCTTTGGAGGCCCAGTGAGACGTACGATCTCAAGCTTCGTTGTACCCTGACAAGCAATTTGGTAAGAGAACTTTCCTCAAGTGGTATCCTAGGAAAAAAGGCAGAATCTCTCCACTCGGAATGTGAGAATGAATACAATCACAACAGGAAGTTTCTGTCTGACAAATATGGGAGCGAATATTGAGGTCAGCAGGGGAAATAGTGGTGCTCATTACAGTAACTTACTTACAGTAAGTTAGCTGGTCTTTGGGCAGAAATTCAACCCCTCAGTTTGCGAGTATAATATTTGTGTGTTCCTCTTGTTCGTACACTACTTCCGACAAAGTGTTTTCAAGACACACGATCATTAAGGCGAAGAAGATTCTAAAGATCGTAGCACAAATCAGGAAAATCGAATTACGTATCTCTCCTCCATTTACCAAGAAGGCGCCACTCTGACAAGTAGGGGTGCTCTGTACCAACATGTCTGTTTAGGCCAAACACTACCAAAAGACCAGTTTAAAAAAGGGAGGTCGTTTGATAATGCAGAAGATTTACAGCAACATTTGGTGCTCGTTTTGATGATGAGAACAATGTAGAAATGATTTATAGGCAAGTTTAGAGCTGGGAGAAGCAGAGAACGGCGTCTTGGATTAAAGGTCCCTTATCATCTGGATTCTCTCAATCCTAAATTATGGGGAGAATTCGTCAAACTAAAGGCGATCAAAAGCAGAAAAAAAGGAAGTCAATGTCCAAGCCGACAACTTATCGAAATATCAATCGCAATGTTGATATCTTAGTATTACAAAACTGGGATTTCCATCCAGATGTATCATCACATGCCGATCTGCTGCAATTTTTCCCAACAAGCGTTGTGTTGTGAGCCACTGTTTAGAGTTGGGGAACCACTCGAAAAGGTGAGCAGACGAATGTGCGATTAAGCGAAAGAGTGCTATGCGCTTGGGGATGGGAGGGGCTCGAGGAACAGCATTCAACCAGATGCACTGAAATTACGTCAAATGTTTTCCATCAATATCAACATCTGAGCAAAAAGATAAGGAGTTGGGAAGGAGGTAGTGCCAGGAGAGTTGAACAAAGTCAAGACAAGGGATGTGAACTCTCCCAAACCGGACTCCCTCCCCTTTGAAAATCCTCGGACTTATAACATAAAATCGTGCGCTATCGCAAGATACGGAGATGTGAAGCTCCTGGGAGTAATAAGGGCATCTCTGCTACACCATGAGAGCCCATACGCTGAAGCAATTATATCATTTTTCCGACGATCTTTCTGCTACGTCTCTAGGCTCATTCCTGAGGGGATCCTCACGTCGAAAAAGCGCGCCCAAAATGTTCTAATTTAGCACTGAAGTTGTGCTGCAGAAATATTCGCTAGAACAAACCGAAGAAACTGTGGGAAAATAGGTAGGCTCTCAGGCAGAGTAGTATAACTTGGGAAAGTTTCTCCGTGAGTAACTGAGATCATAGACCGTTCACAGCAGATGTTTCTCCAGCGCAAAACCAATGAGCGCCCGAAAAGAATCTCGTGCCCCATCGCAAGACATAGGAGCTTGGTTGAAATAATGCACTTTAAAATCGCGCCAAACATACCCTTTTTGTTAAAAACGGGACTACGCTTGGGCGGAGGTTAGTCTCCTAGGATGCGTGAGTCATCTTCATTTTCCCCAATATCACTGCTCCCTACTAGGCTTAGACTTAGATGATACCCCCTCCCCTATGTTGCGATAGCGCAGGATCTCTTATGTACGCATCGATTTATATCCCTTTGCCGTGCTAATTTATGAGCAACTCGTCTATTCGTCTGATCTATACGCATCTTATCTTCTCGCCTTGTCGACCGGCCCACCTGAGTGGAAAAAATCGGAACAATGCCTTGGAATGTTTATGTTTTCTCCACTCTGCTGATTTCCGTGAAAAGGATAGTACAAAAAATATTTGCAGCCAGAAACTCCGTTAGGGAGGGAATGGGTTTGTGCGCTTATATATCTGCCAACTCATCTACAGAAATGCCAACCGATCTGAGCTGATCGAAAGTGCCAACTTTTGCAAATTCCAAATTTTCTCACCTTCCCATCTACGAATCCATATACAGGCCGGACGCGATAGTGATCATTGTTTGATGACTTCACCTAAACATGTGACTTGCGGAATCTTGCAGATAAATAAACCCCATTGACAAGTGGGAGCGCGCAGATCGTTGGGGGGGGGACCTTCTCGTGAGTGAGCCACTAACAGCACTTGGGACTGAGTCCTGGATGGAGAGGCATTCTGAGGAAGGATGCAAGCAATTTTTGTTCCTCCGGCGTTTCTCCCCTCTCCTGGGCACAGACCGAGTGTCACGTCCAAGTAGTTTCCAAATATTATGTTTCAAATGCTCTCCCTCTCCCTTCCCTCGGGCCATGAGTGCCTAAATGGGTTCGTATCATGTCATTCCTCATCATAAGGTATTTTCCAAAAGTCATCGTGTGGCAACGTGTTCCACTGACCACTGAAAAATGAAGCACTCACTATCTATTAGAAAAAACAGTTCACCTTGAAAGCGAGCCTTGTGTCGACAAGTGAAATAATGTTGTGCGTAGCATTGCCTCCAGTGGCTGGGAAATTGCCGACGGCCGGCTCTACGTTGAGTGACATCTTCCAGACCACAGGATACGAGAGAGTATCAAGCAAAAATGAACCATGCTCAGATGTTTACTCTGATAGGGGTGATACCAGAAGATCACAAACTCTTCGCTTCATTTTGCTTCAGATAAGCCGGCCTATTTACAGTGGGCTATGCTCTAGTTGCTCTTCACATTAAAACTCATTCGGCATCTTTCATCCGTCAACAATTTTTTCTGCAGAGTCACTAACAACAATGAAATGCTAGCTTTCAAAGTTTGACCTTGTGATTCACTTACTTGAATTCAAGAAAAAACACGTAAATAAACATATTATTAATTACCTACGTCTGAATATTATTGACGATGATATATAATAGAATAATCCCTAGCTTGGAGGCTATTATAGTCTAGCGGGCACTATCACACAAAGAGCCTATACAGCCAAAACCACGATCGCTGCCGTCCCTCCTAGGACTAAGCCTTAAAGATATGCTAGGAGAAGTTGTGCTTGAGCAGTTTTCGTTTTACCCGAAGGTTCTCCCTTATTCCTAGACTTTGGTCAATAGGTCGCAGAAGGATGCCCCACACGACGACACCAGCGCCCCAACTTGTACAGCGCGGTGCAAAATCATAGGACACCCTCCAAAAACATGAATCGACTTCTAGAAAAGGTCGTTCATCGCTACCTATAAACTCAATTTGGCTTCTGTAAAAAAACTCACAAGATATGCTCACAATATACCAGGTTATCCGATTAGTTTTCCGCATTTGCGGACAAATTTATTCAATTTGGAGCCGGTGCAAAATCATAGGACACCCCTCAGAATTCTCCTTACTGTTGAATTTTTTATCCATCCAGCAACGATGGTAGCACTTGTCCGGTGTATGGTAATTCTATTAGAGTTACGGTTTGAGTTGCTCTCCCCTCCGCGAGTGAAAGCCAGACTTTCTTTTTATACGCGCCTGATGGCTCTACCACAAGCATCGAAGCCATTTTGAGAGCTTAGGGAAAGCAGCGGCTGGTATTCCAAATTCTCAATACGGATAGGAATAAGAGAGTACCAGGACAATCACAAAATCTTCTTAGTGATTGGTAAATTATCTCGAAGCCAACATCGAACATAATCACCTTTTACGCTCAGCATGTGTCAGCTCTACGACAGAAAGAAAACATAGAACTGGGTTCCTCTAGCAAAATCACAGATATAGCCGACTAGCGCAGGGTCTAACGTGCTCGTTAGGCGTTTTGTCCAAAAACGGAGAAGAGAAATTCAACGAAAGACTGGTTCAAGGCTGGAATTTGTTGAGCTAAATTTTCATTCAAGATCATAAGTATTTTGTTCCATCATTCTTGGTAACAAAAGTTTACCTTCGATGGTTCGAAATGGTTTCCTTGAAATGGTGATATTGCGTGACTCGCATCCTGAGTCCTAAATCTGCTGGAGTGAGTATTAGAGCGCAAATGAAAGTGCAGAAAAACCCGCTGGCTTCTCTTCTCTTCTCATCCATTTTCGCATGAAATTCTACCTTTTTGACAAGTTGATCACACGGCTATATAAGCCCCATTCAGCCAGTGTAAATAAAGAGCACTTTTAAACATTGACGCTCCGGCCGATTTCGGCGTTTTGTCGCACATTTCATTGGCGGTTACTGCTGCCTGCCATACTCGGCGATGCTTCAATCTCATGCGTGGGACATTTCGTGCGTTTCCCTTACGGAAACCACATAACAGATTCGTCGGAAGGCGCGGGAGGTTTCGTTCCCCTTTACCAATTAGAATTTTTCAAGTTTTGTTCTAGTTGTTGTTGCTTTAGTTCTTGTTACTACAGTTCATAGGTCTAATAAGTGTTTAGCTTGGTTTCGTACGTATTTCTGCGAGCTACTAGACGTGTTGATTAGGAAAATTTTCCGATAATAGTTTCTTTTTGATTGCCAAAGAAACTCGAAGTCTGAAGCGCAAACTGCATGCAAATTTCGTAATTGATGATAACTTGTTCAGTAGGTAGGCGTATTAGAATCTGATTGTTTGTGTTGAAATTGAAGTTGTCGACATGCCACACGTTCTACGGATTCATGAGACTAACGGAAGTCAATTAGTCAAAGAAGTACTGGAAAGGTTCATGGGGGAGCAAAATACAGATGTGCATACCCGGCGATGCACAAATGTCAGATGTGGGAGTTTTCGACGTGCATACCCGGCGATGCACGCGGGCTGCAATGTGTTAAATAAGCCCAGACTGTCCATCGCCAACCGCGGAGCACTCTCTTCTCTGCATACTTCTGCGTTCCTTCTCCTCACCCTCTTCTCGTCCTTGCTCGCAGCTGCTACTTGCCAGTGATCTCCGCAGTGTTTATATAGCCGTTAGGGTTTATCACAAACATCGCTATTGGCACAACTCTGATAGTGCTAGCCCAGATTTTCAGTGTTGTTTCCATCATTACTGCGTTCTCACTCCACTGCATTGCTTCGTACGTCATAGCTAACAAACACCCATAATCCTTCTATTTTATAAAGCGCTAACTTTGTGTGTCGGTTTGTATGTATGTATGTATGTATGTATGTATGTATGTATGTATGTATGTATGTATGTATGTATGTATGTATGTATGTATGTATGTATGTATGTATGTATGTATGTATGTATGTATGTATGTATGTATGTATGTATGTATGTATGTATGTATGTATGTATGTATGTATGTATGTATGTATGTATAACTTGCCTCCGCCCGCTCCATCGCGCGCATTGATAGAACTAACAATCGATAAGCTTTAGGTTTCTAAAATATGTGTTCAGCGCCTCTTATTACTCTATCAGTTTCTTACACTTGAACCTGCCACCAATTAGTTTCGTCTCACCCCTATAGTCATGCCGAGACTTAAACCAAATCAGCTCCTGACGACTGCTGCGAAGCGCACTATGAATTTCGTGAAATTTGTGTTTCAGCGCCTCTTATCTGCTCTTATCAGTCGTTATCACTTTGTGACCCCCCCAAATATGTTCCCGTCTTACCCCCTATATCATGCCCCAAAATCAGCTCCTGACGACTGCTGCGAAGCGCACTATGAATTTCGTGAAATTTGTGTTTCAGCGCCTCTTATCTGCTCTTATCAGTCGTTATCACTTTGTGACCCCCACCAAATATGTTCCCGTCCCCTATATCATATCAAAAAATCAGCTCCTAACGACTGCTGCGACGCGTGCTATGAATTTCGTGACACACACACACACACAGACAGACAGACAGACTTAGCGCTTTATATATAGGGAAGGTATGTATGTAGTGCATGCATGTTGTCCGTTCCGCAAAACATGGTTATGAGTGATTGAGAGTGAAGCTCATGGGAACACAAACTGCTTTCTTGCAATGGCATGATTGTGATAGCATCCCCAACGGCTATATAAACACGCACTTAGCACACTTTCGGTCATTCGACAAGGTGATGCTGTGGTAGCCGGCGAGCAGAGGGGAACGAGGGGAGAGTAAGGAGAGGAGGGAGAAGGGAAAGCTTACGCAAGGTAGGGTTCCGGCGCTTGCCGCGGGGACACATACATACACAAATAAACGATACACAAGGTTGTGGTTTATATAATGAAGAGATGGCCAGCAAGGAGTGCGCGTCACAGTTTGTCGATACTCAATTGGATAACCTTTGTTAGCGATGGCTGCGCAAATACTCACAAGATCAACACAGTTTCGAAGTTGAAGTAGATTCCCCAGTGATGAGCCAGTCTGATTTAGATATGTATAAACTTGCGGCAGCATTTCGTCGTATGGATGGTGCCATTCTAAGTGGTTCCCTTTAAAATACTGAAGCCATAAGATTTGGCGTGTTCCTGTATTTTTGAGGTTCCGAAGGAGGGTGATTTTGCACCGGCTCGAAAATTAAAAGAATTTGTACAAGAATACGGGAGACCAATCGGAAAACTGGTGACTCATTAGTGTGGGTTTTATAAATAAGGTTACGATTTACAGGTTGCGAGGAGTGACGATTCTTAGAAGCCGAGATATTCATGTTTTTGGAGGGTGTCCTATAATTTTGTAATTTTTGAATGAATACTGACAAGTTCAACTTTAATTGTACTAAACTTACCCATAGACTAGTAATCCATTAAAATGTGGTTCCAGGCCTTATGCAGAAACCTTGAAGTTTAATACTCGATTAAAACTGGAATTATCCCAACATAACACAACAGAACAGCTCGAAAGAGAACTATGTACTTGTTATGATAAGGACATTATCATCAATATCTATGTCCACAAAAAATTTATTGATTATGAAACTTTGGTTTTAATATAAGTAATAAATAAGCTCTGTCATCGCATAGATCCGCATCTCACTTGTGGCTGACATTTACAACTCACTAGCGTTGTCTTCAAACTCTTCGTGTCCTTCCCAATCCGACGAGGTAAGCAAACCAGCCCGTTTGGCCCTCCTGCTGGATGCATTTGCACCACTTGCGCCGCCACTCGCCTACCGTAATCGACGTCTCTTTTTAAATAATTTTTCCGCAACTAAAGCATTTACTAGCTGTTTTGCTTTAATCTGAACGCTTTTTTTTCTTGTTTTGCCTTCTCTCGCACATTATGCTCCTTCTTGACCCCGACTTCATTCTTGTAGTTGTGAGAGTCTTGAATCGGTACATTTGAATCTGTTTTACTCAATTACGGTTCAATCACTTTGATTTTAGGGACGAAACGTGTTAGCCTCATACGAGTGAGCTTGTGTTGGAGTGACCTTGCCGTATCCAACATAAAGAATGTGAGCATTCAACTGATGGCCGAGCTTTCAACTTTCAATAACTACAACACAGCAACTTATTCAGTAATTACAATACAACAACTTTCACTTCTCAATAGCTTTCAACTGATGGCCGAGCTTCCAAATCTTGGACGTCATTGTGGCGCAGAGCTTTGCAATCAACTAGGTTGGTATTCTCTTTACCATTAGTTCTTTCCATGGCATCAGTGCTGCTTACCTATTGTTTATAAGTCGCTACCGTATTACTTCAACACGACACCATGTTTGTAATTGCATAGTAAATATTTTTCTGCGTATCCTTCACTAGTTTGTAATTCCAGCAAAACTGTTTGTCCTGCTGATCATATGCAACGCTTCATTTAGATTTTCGTCCTATTCGATGTGATGCATGTTCGGGAACATTTTGGTGAGTTTATCTAACTGTACTTCAGCTTTTTAAATTATTATCGTGATCTCTCGTCTGCTACCCGACTTCTAATCTTACTTCAGCTTGTCGCATTTCACTTACGAAGGAAATGGTTGCAAAAATGCTTACAAAAGGGTATGTAGAGTTTCAAGATTTAAGTTAGTATTTTGAAGATTATACGCCACAGATGCATCTCTTTAAACTGCGTTGTAACTATCTTTCGTTTCCACGTCCCACTATCATCATATTT